GTGGGGGCGGGCGCCGCCCTGCGCGCGCCCCCTGCGGGCGGACAGGCGTTAACGGCCGTTAACGGTCGTCTCTGGACTCCGGCGCTGGCGGGGGTGGGGGATATGGGAGTCGTACCTCGAGGGGCGATCTCTAAGCCTGGTTCTGTGGGGAGCGCCATTAGTCCCCCGCCACTTCACCACATGGCAGCGTGCTGCCGGTGTCCTCACGAGCTGTCCTTGCACGAGGAATGTGGAGGACCTAAGAGGAGCATCGGCCCTTGTTTTGTCAGCGCTGTGGGGCTGCGTGGTACCTCCTGGGAGTCCTTGGTCTTTTGGTGTGCAACAGGTACAGTCATCTCTGACATGGACAGCGATCAGATGTAAAGGATTTACAGCATTAAACCAGTGCCGGGACATCCTTAAGAGTAAAGAGTGAGCCTGGTTCTGGTGGAAAATAATACAAAAGAAAATGTCATGGAAAGCAAGGGTGCAGTGGCTTAACCACTGAAAAGTCCCTGATGGTCTGTGGGGCCTGATGGGCAGGAGGCATGGAGGGAAGGATGACACTGGAGAAGAGAAATTTTGCTCTGTTCTGCAAGATTCAAGGGACAGGAAGAGCCCAAGGCCTTGTGGCGACCTGCTGTTACAGAGAGAGGGATAGGAAAGGCCTACAAAAAAAAAAAAAAAAAAAAAAAAAAAAGGTGCTGGTTGCTGAAAGGAAGGCTTAGGACCAACTTTCAAGTTGGGAGGAGGGTGAAGGACCTGCACAGATGGCTTCGGAAAGTCTCTGGAGTCTCCCTTGGGACTGGTTAGACAAACATCTGTCAGGAATGGCATGCACATTGGAAGGCTCATCTAATGAATGTTTGTGAAACGCTAGGGACAGGAGACAGTCTCAAGGAGCTAGGCAGTACTTTGGTAGATAATGTATCTAGCCGCTCTGAAGGAGCTGCCTTCACCCCTCAGCCAGGCCTTGGGCATTTTTCCTCTGCACGGATACTCCTCTCTGAAGGAGTCAGGCTTCTGCTTTGAACATGCTGGACAGGGATGAAAGGAGGGATTTTTTCACATCTCAGAGCTATTATTTCAGCCTGCCAGGCTGCCTGCAGATTCAGGAACACTCCATTTCAGCAGCTGATAGACTGGGAAGATGCTGTACTCATTGCCTTATGGTGAAGAATCAGCCTGCCGGAGTTTAAATTCTAAAGTGTGACTCTTGGGAGCTTCTGAATGTGCTTAACACAGGGTGTAAGACTGCTTTCCAGACCCTGTCTTTGGACATGATGGTCAGGCAGTGCCACGAGAGGGATCTAAAATCCTTAGATGGCATGAGGGAAATTCTGTCTTTCATCTGAGCCCGAAGTGTTGCCTAAATGGCCATGACTTGGGCTGTTGGTGAAAGCTTTGCGTTACTCAATTGGCATTTTACACAGAGTCGAGGCTCCTCTTCTAACGTGGCCATTTTCCCCAGCAGGGCCAGTGCCCTCCCATGTGCAGGCCTATCCAATATGGACCATGTCCCCTCTCATGCTTGGGAGCCTCGGGTTATCCAGCAGACAGGGCCATGTCCCCCTCATCAGAGATGTGTCCCCCCGCCAGCTGCTTCTTCATCTCTCCTTATAACCCTGGAACATAGCTGTGCATAACCCATGTTTTAGATCAATGTGGACTGTTTCCTCAAAGGCAGGCAGGACATTTGGGCCCATTCCCTGTTTTTTATCAGCTTTTCAAAGGTTTTGTGTAGAGKCCTTTAGAAGCCAGTGAGACATTGCCAAAGCCTGTAGTGAGGTGAGGCCACTGAGCAGCCTGAGGAGATAGGGCTGGGGAGAGGGAAGCAGAACCCACACAGGCCGTGGCAGGAGCTGCTCTAAGTACAGCTGTAGCCTGGCCCAAGTGTTTGGTTTCTTGGCTATGAGTCTGCTCCTTTCAGTCAGCTGCAGTGATACCTCAGGAGAAGTGGTTATGGAAGCTGCTGCTTTAACGTGCTGCAGGCCTAGCAGAGCAGACCTGGCTCCACCAGCTACTCAGGCAGCTGGCAGCACAGGAACAAAGTCGCCTGGGAAGCCAGAGAAGCAGTCTTGCAGCACAGGCCCCAGTTCTGCTGCAGGGGCAATTTGTCACAAGGCAGGAGCCCTGGCCCTCTTCAGAGGCCTTGGGATTTCAGAAGCAAGCCTAGTCTGCAGGCCATCCCCCCAACTTCCACAACATCTTCATGGATTTGAGGAAGAACCTTTGCTTCTTCCTCATCTTCGAGACCAGACAGCAGCATGTGGAAGTCAAGATGTCTTTACTAACACAGTAGAGACAGGCCTGTCCCAGCACAACATTCCTCTTTCCTGTCACATAACGTTGCCCTGTCCTCTCTATTTTCCATTTGGCCGCATCTTCCAGCTGCACCCCACTCTGCATCCATACACCAAAAAACACCAGCCAAAATAAAACCAATGCCTCTGAGCTCCTGCAACTTGTCTGTGGCCCCAAAGCAGCAAGACAAGTGGCCAGAGCTGCTGCAGAAACCAATAGGAGGAAGCATGTTCAGGGAGCTCTCATTTGCACATCAGCTATATTGTATTGTAGGGGCATTTTGCTTAAAATTCAGCTACTTGGTGTATATTTAAGTGGGGAAGAGCCTGTGAGAGATGGAAATCCCCTCAGGCAGCAGCAGTAACACAAAATCACTGTGAACTGCACAGAAGTTTTTGCCTTTTCTGAGAATTCATCTTCCTGGCAGTGGGGCTTACGTTACCATCCCTCCCTCTGGGACTGCCYTGAAGTTCAGTACCAGGYAACAGARGAAAWGGGGCCAGCAGAAGMAWCAYMTCYGAGTYCWGCARGSWGGAAAGAAAGMCCTGCTGGTGGGGAAAATCATTTTTTACTGCCACTGTACGTAGAAAACTAAGTGATGGAATGGGGGGAATACATAGAAGGCAGAAATTAATCAAGTAAGCTAAAATTAGGGACAACAAATTCTGAAGTGTAGAGGTCAGGTGCCTGAAGGCAAAAGGAAGGTAATACCTACCCTGAAGAGCTAGCTGTTGCTAGTGAGAATCCAGTAGAGACCCAAAAGTCTGACCCTTCGTGCATTCAGCATGCCCAGCTTCTCTGTGTGGCAAATAAAAACTAATAGGAGAATTCAAAACTTGGTATATTTGATCAGCACAGATTAGTCTTATGCAGAAATTAGTGCAGGTGGTAATCTACTTCTACAACAATGTGTTAAAAGTTCATTTTACATTCTATATATGAGGGAACATTTTCCAAAGCATTACCAATCACAACAATAATGCAGGCCATAAATCACTTTAAATTTAGTTTGCTTTTAGTGTATATTATCACAATAGAATATAAAGAACATATACAAAAAAAAGGAGTCAAATGTGTGCATTTTGCTAAAACTTGGCATTTACATGCTCCATTGGAAAATAGCAATCAAAAATACTTCTGATCAAAACTAAGTTCCTGTGATGCGCAGTAAAAATTGTA